ATATATACAAAAGAGTTAGCATGTATATTTTAAAGAATAGACAGATATATGTAATATAATATTTATTATTAATAAATTTGAAAAAATTTACACAATAGAGCGAATTATAAATTAAACTTTAAACGATCCCAATACATTGCAAAAATCATCAAAATCTTAATATTAAACTAGATTTCTTGCTATCAAATAGCTTTACTTATTCAAACTAAATAAAATTTGGTTGATTTGGACATAATAGAATATTTTAAGCAAAAAACATTTTAGTTACTTTACTTGCTATATTATAACTTTGCATAGTTTAATAGATGATAATATATTTTGTCTTCTAAGCAATTTTCCTAATAAATATTCTTTAAATAACTAATTTAGAGTATAACACGATAAAAAAAAATATTTATAGTTATTAGATAATCATGAAAATTACTAAGTTTTAGTTTAAAATAATTAAAATAACCAATAAAAAGTTCTTATTTTCTTCCTGTTTTTTATATATAAGTGAACTACCTTTTTCTATTTAATCTATAGCAATCTGAAAACTTTAAACAATACTTTAGAACTTGAAGAACATAGTTTTTTTAAAAAAATTATCTGGTTATATGAACAAATAGGGGTTATGACATTACTTTAAAAATTTTTTAGTACAGATTTACAAATTTTTATTATATAAAAAGTTTGCAAATCTGCGCAAATCTTCAAACCTGGTTATTTTCACAGAAAAATAAATACAATTAATTCTGCGCAGAATTTTATCTTTTAAAAATTCTTACAGAATCAGTATTTTCACAGAATATTACAGATCCGAATAGAAAAATTTTTCCCGATGTAATAATATAACCTATATACAAACCAATCATATTTAATCTGATAATCTAAATCAACAACTAATTAAAACTAATCTTTAACATACTGCAAATCTCGATATATTAATAGAAATTATTTAGATAAGTAATTTTTTTTTTATAATTATATAAAATTTAAATAAAGGTTTTTATAAATTTAAATAATTAATATAGTTAGGATGTTATATTATTAAATTAAAGATAGTAAATAACTTGAAATAACCTTGTAATTCAAATAAATAATAACTAATTACTAATTATTTTAACATTATATACACGTCACTCTGGTTATACCGACATCTGGATATAATGACATCATAGTAAAATCTTTCTATACTGACATTCTTTTTCAAAAATTTAATATAAAATGTCGGTATAACTCACTGTACCGACATTTTGAATTTTTTTACTAATGTCTCAAAAATGTCGATATAACCAGAGTGACGTGTATATAATTAAAAATAATGAGTTAGTTACTAATTATTTGATTCAAACATGTGTAGTGTATATAGTCAATTAGATTCTTTAGTTATATTAAATTAATACTATAATGTAAGTATAAATACTTACTACTATTAATTTTCTTAATATCTTTAATTTAGTATTGCTTATTATATACAGTAAATCTAAAATATAGTAATAATAAACCTATTTCTAATACTATAAAGAAGCAATATAAATTATTTAAATATACTGTAAAGGAAATAAAAGCTTTTAATAAATTATTAAAATTTTTTTATTTTGTTAATGTCAAGTATAGGAATAATATAGCTTTATCACGATGATACTGTATATGAAGATGCTAATTTAGTGTTCCTAACTAATTACCTAATAGCCTATGCAATAGAGCAAACTATCACTTGCAGTCAGGGCGTACCATTGAACCACTACAGAAAATTGGCATGACATTACATCTCCTACAAACTCTGCGTATTACTACACCATAACCTAATCTAAGTGGAATAATATAATTATTTCCACTGCCGCGGTTATATATAAATTTTTCCAAAAAAGATTTATTCTTTTTTTTTTCAGTTAATAATGAAGGTTTACAAAAATGGATCCATTCGTCTGATGATGATTTAATACCCGTTAATGTTTCGGGCGAAACTCAAATATTTCGCCAATTCGCCCAACATGCAATTTCCGTAATTGCCCATATATTAGACTCAATCTGAAGAGTCCGAAGCTATGATTGGTCATGTTCAAAAATGTGTTCCAATCGTGTGAAATTTTTTTGTTCATAATTCTGTAATTGATATGTTAATTAGACAATTGTACATACGAGCAGATTCGTTGCCCAATTACAACTACTGTCAAACCTTCCCAAACCGATATGTATGGTGGGCAGATCATGTATCAGTATTGAAAGGTCATCAGATTTGATAACATTATAAGCTATTAGATCCATACTGTTGAACCTCTCAAAACCGATCCTGTCAAAATTGATAACCCATCAGTTCTAATAAAAAATCAATCCCCCAAGTCTCTTGCCGCTATATGAATCTAATAATTTATAATGTTTTCAAATCTGATGACCTCTTAATACTGCTACAAATTCTGTCCACCATGCATATCGGTTTGGGAGGTTTAGCAATATTTAAATTCGTGAATAGCGTAAAGTTCATTAATGCACTTTGAATATGGGTAATTATTTTTGAACCTGGACCAATTTATATATGGCGTAATAACATTTCGGTCTGCATTCAAAAATAATTACCCATATATAATTAACTAGGATCACAATGTATCCCAATAAAAGAATTGAATGTTAAACCTCTCAAAACCGATATGCATGGTGAACAGATTTTATTCAGTAATGAGAAATCATCAGATTTAAAAACATTATAAACTATTGAATTCATGGATTAATTTTTTATGAGATTTGACAGGTTGTCAACTTTGATAGGATCAGTTTTGGGAAGTTTAACAGTATTTGAAATAAGCTATTCAAATTGAATTTCGGATAAATCAGAAATATCGGAAGTATCGGAAGTATCGGATATTTGTCTTGATTTCGGAATTTGGAATTTTATTTCGGATCACCTTATTAAACTCGAAATATTTCGGAAATGAAAAACAATTTCGCCCGAAACATTAGCCTTTTTCATATAAATAATATAAATCATTTGACAATTACAAGCTCTAATGTAATCAACAATATAAATTGGAGAAAATCTATTTTTATCCGGATGAAAATAGAATTATATTGTTGATTAGTAATCCCTAATACATCAGATAATTCGTTTGAATTCGTTTGGATATCTGGTTTAATGTGATGTATATCCAGATATAGCATGTCGGATAAATGGATGGTGGATTAATTCGGATTGGAACTCTAATTCACACGAAATTTTCTATTACCTACCTTACAGCTAATGAATATTCTTTTGTTAAAAAGAAAATGATCTACATCCGACTCTAATAATAGCAAACTTGGTCCTCCAAACTCACATGCTAAGTGTTTCATTAACATTAAGAACAATAATAGTAATTCATCGCTCCAAGCCTTTAATGTTAATCTAATTGTGTGCATTTAGAAGTAGCAAAGTAATGGCGCAAAAATTTGACAGCCCGAGACATCGTTATATCCTTAAGCTTTTCAATAAAATTATAGAAATATTATTTATTAAAGCCATATGAAGGCCCAATTTGGAGGTTCATAATCTTGGAAAACACGGGACTGTCAAATACTATTATATACTTTGTTATATAACGACCAATATACCACCGTTTTTCAATTTCCTTATTTGGGAGACCTACATGAATTAACCAATCAAATCGTAAAATTTTCAAGAAACAAAAAGAAATGAATGTTCTAATAATACCCGAATCATCCAGGGCGACCACCAAAAACGCTGTAACGTGATTATGGCGCAGCTATTGTATATATATTGCAGTAATGAATTACAATAACGATAAACTATTTAAAAATTTACAATATGCAGCTAAAAGGGAGCCAATAAGTGACGCTAACTAATCTTACGTCACCAGCGTTTTTGGTGGTCGCCCTGGATGATTCAATAATACCCACCCAATCCTTAACTCTAACCCTAATTTTAGAACAACTCTGGTCTTAATTACAGTTGCTTTTTTTTAAATACACTTCCAAATAAGGAAATCAAAAAATGGCGCAGTAATATCAATCATCAATCATATAGGACTTAAAATATACGTGTTACCTTAATGGACAAAACTTCTGACCAATGGTCAAAATACAGAGTGCCACGAAGGAAAAGCATGAATTTTTCATTAAATAATATTACAGGTTTTTCCTTTACGGCACTCAAGTAATCACAAGTTTGGATTGAAGCCTGGATTGGAGATGGATTGATGATAACTCTACTATGTACAATATATGTAAAAAGAATTTAGTAGAAGAATTTTATGTAATAATTCACATATATTCGAATAAAACTATCCGTTAAATGAAGATTAAAGTTTGTTAATCAAAGCTAAATAATAAGTTCTATTTTAGATCAAAAGAATTGCTAAATTGATAATCCCAAAGAAAATTTTTTTTACCGTAAAGTCACGAAATAACGCTCATGAGCGTTATTTTGGAAATATCACCCTCTAAAAGCATCATATTTTTGATTTAAAATAACGCCCACTTCGTACATCATGTACAGTGTTAGCGGATTTGATATATGTACATTAGTCAAGGTTGGGCAGCCTATGCCCGATGAATTTTATCGGACACCGGACATTCAATTTTGTCCTGTGTCCATTCATATATGGTGTAAAAATTGGCAGTATGTTACTGTCCTAATTATTTAGTTTGTTTGACAATTTTAGAAATTTAAATTTCATCGGACAATCCACTTGTCCGATTGCCCAACCCTGTACATTAGGGCCAAAGTTTTATTCAAAAATAATGCATATAGGCGTCTCGAAATAACGCGCAAGTGGACAAAATGACGCGTTATTTCGCGACTATACAATAGGTAAATTTATTATATTAAAAATTCGCGCTTTCTACACAGAATTATAAACAATTTAAAATTTACAAGTCGTTATTCAAATATAAATGACTGTACATATAAATATATATATATATATTATTTAATATTTAATTTAATAATTTTGGATAACAGATAATTTACATCATGACTAATCCTAATAAATCATAATCTTTATATGATATATATATATATTGCTCTAATTAGGATTAGTATTTGGATAACGATAACTGTTATGTGTCGTATCATATTCAACATATTGTGGTTGAACGTCGTGTTTCACGTAACTAATTACAGGCACGTTACCTTCATTTCCCTGGTATTGATGATATGAAGCACCATCTACTGGTATCATAAAATGATATGGTTGTTGTTGTTGTTGAAACACCTGTTGTTGATAATCATAAATTGTACTCACAGGTGTTTCTGAAAAATTTCGAAAATATAAATCAAAATAATGGTGCTGTTCTTCAGATTTAGTTGAGTTGTCATCATCAGAATAACGCAAAGCTTGACGAGCTGTGCCTTTTTGAGTTAATAAAATATGTTTAATTCTATATTTTTGATAACACCAAATTATAGAAAATCCTATAATGAAAGCTAGAACGGCAGCTCCAATAACCATACAAAGTATCAATAAGCTGATAGAGGTTGAATCGTTTGATGCATCTTTACGAAACAGTAAGAAAATTATTTAACATGTGTTGTATAAAATAAATACTATTTATTCCCCGTCTCATTATGATCGCATGACAGGAATTTACATTTTATTAATTACAATTTTTATTGCAAAATTGTTTTTTCTTATTTGTTATTTCCCTGGGGTGATAACAAAAAAAGAAAAGAATTTGTAATAAAAATTGTAACTAATAACACTCATGCGATCATATTGAGACGGGGAATAATTGAAATAAAATATAATATACTTGCTTGATTGATACGAATCCACCCAATTATAGGAACTTGTATTAAGTAAATAAATCCTATTGTTAACACTTGATTGTTTGGAATAGGTCTCGGTAACATTGCCTATATGATTAATTATAAATGTATTAATATGAAGTTTTTATAATCTTTTAAGCATACCCATCCATATGTATAAAGTAATGTTTACCAAATAACAAAATCATATAAGAATCTATAATCATCGCAGTATGACCCACAAGAGACCGAGTGGCGGTACTTGATAACGATTCGGTATTTGGTGTTGACCATTGAAACAGAGTCGATGAAACATTAAGAACCGCAAGGTCTGGTGAAACTTTACTATTGTTTATACCATTGGAACCGCCATAAATAATAATTTTTCTATCAGGCGCTTTAAAGGAAAAACTAATAGTAAGTATATACTACGTATCTTAAAATATTATTTTAATACATGTAAATGTGATTACCTAATACTGCTGAATGGTAAATTCGAGGGCCAATATTAGTATTATTAATAAATTCAGCATTCTAAACAATAATGAAAGTCTAATTAAATTTTAACAATCAAAAGAAGTTATATACTGTATATGACTTTGAAAAAAAAATTACATTAAGTGACCATTCTGCAGATCTCGTATGGTATGCCCAAATCTACAGGCATAATTGATTGTTAAGTAGTTAATAAAATAAATTAATAACTTTATGCATGTACATATACCTGACTCATGTTCGCCAGCGTCGGAATACTAGAATTACCACTCAGTTCCCAACCGCCAATAAATACTATTATTCCAGTTTTCAATAAAGTAGCGGTATGACCTGATCTTTTTGAAGGAGCGAAATAAGATGTCATATTTGACCAGGAGAAATTAATAGAATCAAAAATTATCATCTCATTGAACCATTCGGATGAATTAGAAACAGACTGTCCTCCAAAGATATAAATATATCCAGAATCTGGGTCATAAGATAAGGATGACCCTTTGCGTTTTTGATTTAAAACATCTGAAGTCATTAGATTAGACCAATTCCCAATATATGTGTTAAAACTGTATGCTATTGTATCATTAACAGAAGGGACTATTGTGCCACCTATAAGAAATATTATAGATTTATTATTACCACCAACAGTTGCAGTTGCCCATGCACTTGCAATTGGAGCAGGAGAAAGGTTACTCCATCGGAGAGATGCATCATCATTAACATTAAAAGAAGTAGATAAATCAAGGTAAAATAGTTCCGAGGAAACAGTACCATTTTGAAATTGTCCACCAATAAAATAAAGTTTATTATCGACTAAAGCGCTAGCGGCAGCATAACGGCCTTCTGGTTTGGATATTACAACGGTTACAAATAAATTAATCGCAAAAATAAGAACGAATAACATAATTGCTACGAGTCTTAGTGCATTATCAAGAGAGATATATATCTAACGAACATCTTAAATCTTTATAGAAAAAACACCCAATAATTTAAATGAACTATATTCAGTAAAGCCATGACACTAACATTTACGTAAATTATGTACATACTGTATTATTGTTGTCAAATGACTACGTAAATAGAAATATCTTGCACAATAAAATTCATCTCACTATATATGTGATACCGATACAAAAAGTTCGTATGATCTCGATCAAAGCTCGAGTTTTAATCCGGTAATCGTTTAATGCCATATATGTACTCATTCATATAATGTGAGACTTAAATATTTCAATAATTTAATTCTAACAACTGCGCGTTAATTTATACGTATCAGCATTATGCAATTGTTACTTAATACTTTTAATTTTTCTAAATTTACTTCAATTATAAATGATTTCTATCTTCGTAGTTATTTACTCTAAATAAAAAAGATATAAGATTGGACTAAGATTCTAGAGATTATACATACATGTTAAAATTTATTTTAAAATATATTATCTGTAAAAAATACTTTTCTAAGGTTAAAATCCGACATTATTATACCTACTATGTAGTTTTATTATTTTTGTAAAATGACAAAAGACGAAACCTCCGTGAAAGTCGAAATCTATAGGCCTCTTCGCGCATCCTGCTAAAGATGAAACCTCACAAAGACAAAACTTATAAATGTCAAGCCCCTATGAAGGATGAAACTCCTGGTAAAAAAAAAAAAACAAATCCTTAAAGGGCTATGTCATAGTTAAGGATTAACCGCATAAAATTGTTCCCGTAGTTTCGAGCCGAATTATGTTGGTCTTGGGTCAAAACTATATTGATGCCGGCTGGATTAAACGATTAACATGGTCAGACGGTCAGACGGTTAAATGATTAAGCGGCCATCCATTATTGATTAATATAAAATAAATTAAAACCACGTCTTAAACCCCTCAAAATAATCTGGCTGTTAAATTTAATGGTTAACTAAAAAGTGGATCAATGAATAAATATATTGTATTACGTACTATAATGCAAAATTTAATAAATTTGAAACTATAAAAATTGTAAGTTTTTTATTATTATTAAATCGTGCAATATCCAAATAAAATTCAATCTTAATTAGCAATTATTGCATTGGTTTTTGATCAAACCGTGATATCTCTGGAATTAGTGTCCGATTTGGATGATTTTGGTAATATTCGAACAGACTAGATTCAGTGATACTGTATACGGTTTGATTAAAAATTAGTAGTTGCTAATTAAAAATAAAGTTAATTGGTTATTATATGAATATTATATAAAAATTGCATACCGTATTACCGCGAAATAACGACCATGGGCGTTATTTCGAGGTTCTGACCGAATTAAGTAAGCTTAATTTAGGCCGGAATTCATAATATCACTCTGCGCGTTATGATATGTATTTTTTTATTAATAGAATTAATTTATTTGTAGCCATAGGCTACATGTAGCCGTACTATCAAATATAGTTTTTTCATAAAAAAATTTTGCAGCTATTAATATTATTAGGGTTAGGTTAGAGTTAGGGTTTGGGGTTAGGGTAAAATTGTGAAAAAGGCATTTTTACTTAGTTACACAACAGGGTTACCCTAGTAAAATTTTGAGTTATTATAGAAATATTGAATATGGCTACATGTAAACTTTTCTTTTTAATAAAGCAAATAGGATGATATATAGAATAATGGGAAAATCGGGTACGTATTTATTAAATATCACTTAAAATTAATCATATCGTACAAAAAAATTCTAGAATAAATTAATTAAATGGATATGCAGTTGTACGTAACGCATCCAAAAATGCTTCCCATAAATTATTTTTGTTTTTCCTACGCCAGATATAT